GCGCTGGGTTCCCTAGTCGAGAGTGGAAAGCAACAACTTCACCTTTGACCCTTTCAGCCAATCTTCACACTTGCGTCAGTAGATTCACGTCCCACTCGGTGAGTCGATTTTGTTCCATGCTCAAGTCAGTGGATGTCCGTGTTTGATGTTTCCACCACAGCAAATCTAAGCTTCAACGCCTCACCCAAAAACCACATCGCAATCAAGTCGGCGACAAACACTCTGCGAACTCACTAAAAGTCTCAATCCAGTTGGCGACCAGAACCCCAAAAAGCAAAACCTGTGATCCACTCGCTCAGTTTTTCCGCCCTTATGTTCGCTGCAACCTCCGGAAGCGAATCGAACGTCGGATTCGCGTCGACGGAAAAATGAGGCCCTAGATGCTTGGGGCAGCTCCTTGGTGCTGGACCTTTGCGCTGCGCCGGGCAGCGCCTTGTCGCGGGGCCTTGGGAACGGAAAGTCTTCTTGGTTTCTTGGGGTAGAGGATTTTCATCTTATATGGGGTCATCGGGTTTTGGAGTACTTTGATGGATTTTTAGAATTCATATTTGTATATGGGGAATTATTCCATATAATTTCGGTCCTGGGGTTCTTGGCTGGGGTGCGCTGACAGGCAAGAGCACGCAGCTTGCTGCGTCCTCCAGCGCTGTCGTCGCCAACGACCCGGACAGGGCCCGTGCTGCGAGGCTCAGGGCGAACCTGTTGAGGTGTGGGGTGAAGAGACTTGGCACATGCATGTAGGTGCGTACCATAGAAATATATACACATTTGACATGCATTTTACCTTGGTTTCACACACGCGCTCATTCGTGCGCACACACTTTCTATGCATTTGTCGAATGTACACCCGCTATGCAGCTATGCATGCATTGAACGTAACGATCCTTTCAAATACTTTCTCATGTAACGCAGCTTGGTATGTTGCCGCCGTCGTTTGTGCATTTCTCTGATTAACCGGTCCCTGTCGGCTTAGGCTGAAGTCAGGATGCGCAGCGTAGCATTTGTCAAGCCTTGGCCATGCCTTGAACTCTTTGTGCTCGCCGTTCCTTTTGTTTTGTTCTAAGCAAGTGGCTCATGCCAATGATACATTGTATTCCTTGCACATGGCAACAACAACTAGTGGCATCACTTCGGTATTCCATGAGTCACACACACACAGGCGGAACAGTCAGGCAGAAATCAGAATTGCCAGAGGCTGGCCGAGCGCCTCCTTTCCGACTTCCCACATGGCCTCTGGAGTTCTGAAGGATACATTTGGGCCTGAAAAGACGTCAGCTCTACCAGTTTGAAAGACCCCCTGTAAGGCTATCCTACATACCAGCTGCTTTGGAGGACCCTCTTGTAAAGCAGGTGGTTTTTAGATGTCCCCCCCGCACATTTCTCCTTCAATCGAGGAACTGCTTGGTGACCTGCTTGGATGGGCGCGGCATGGGGGAGATGTTCCCTGGAATCTTCAGCCGGGTCTTGGTCGACGTGCCATGCTCTTGCGAAGGTGGGCCTGTGTCTTGTGAGGGCATCCGCTGTTTTTTGGTTGGTTTCAGGGAAAGCCACAAGGACAACGGCGATTTTGAGTTCAACCTATTTTGATTTTGACACGTGCCCAAATCCTTGTCAGAATAGTGTTGCATGAAAGGGGTGATCTACACTGTATTTCCTTGCTTGTGTGGTTGGTTCGTTGATGTTTGTTTTTCTTTCTTTCTGTTTGTCTGTCTGTCTGTCTGTCTGGCTGGCTGTCTGTCTGTCTTTCTTTGTCTGTTCGTGCGTGCGCATGTCTTCACTAGCTTGCGTCTTCCCCAGCTTTGAGTCAGCACAGAAATTGTTGCTGAACAACATCTTAAAGGCCGCTTGACCCGTTTACTTTGTCTTGTCTAGATTTCCCCATGGATTGAATTGGATCGAATCAATTGAATTGAACGCATTGAATGCTCATGCAGGCAACGCGCGGAAGAGCGCCTTTGGGGCACTGCGGGCGGGGCAGAGGGACCCAGACCTTGAGGAGCTACAGTTTCAGCTGGCCAAAAGCGGATGGGCAGCGCTGTCGCCAGGAGGCCTTATGGTGTGGCTCGGTCCAGCGGGCAAGGGGTTAGACTATGCAGCTCTTGGTGTTTTTTGTTTGGCGGTGAAACAAAGAAAGACAACGGCAGAGCCTTCCAGGGACGACGTTGGTCCCTGGAAGTTGCATATTTGGTTGATGTTTTTTGTTTTCTCTCCGGAGGGCAGGTCACTGGGAGAATGAGGTACTCCACCTGCACTTTGAATCACTGGGAGAACGAGGGCGTTTGCCAGCGGCTGTTGCACCACGGCGGGGTTCACATGGAGCGAGTGGAGCTGGAGGAGCTCTTGGGCAAGACGGGGGTGGAAGCTTCAGGCGGCTCGGCTTCCTATGTCCCCCAACATGCGACTCTGGGAGGGGTGGAATTCTTGCAAGAGATCCCGGAAAGCACCATCATGATTGATTTCAATTCCCTGAGCTTGCCACAGTCTTCGCACAGGCCGTCTGTGGCCGCAGAGCCTGGACTGCGAAGGCTTCTTCGTCGCCTGCTTCCGCAAGGCGGCGCGTGCGGAGTCGGAGGGCGTGCCAGGCATGCCGGCGGCAACGCTGAAAGCGCTCGGCGAGCTGGAGGTGAGGAGCCTGCGGCGAAGGGCGGAGGAGCAGCTGGGCTTTTGGCCCGCAGAGGAGGAGAGGGGAGCTTCGAAGCAGTTGACTTGGGCCGAGTGGAAGGGAGTGGGCGAAACGAGTTTGTGGGGGCTCGAGGCCCACTAAGAGTCCAAGCCGTGTGCTTCAAGGCCAAGCGCAGAAGGTCAAGCTTGTCTGAAGTTGAGTGGAGCGAAAGAAGGCTTCGCGTGTGCATCCGTGTTCCAGGTTCGAGGTCCCTATAAAGGGCCCCAGATTCGTGGTGTGGCATGTGGTCTTGGGCTCTGCAGAGGCATACTTATCAAACAATGAACCAGCACCCAGCATTGGCGTTGTAATTATTTTCGGCCGTTCACTGCATCTCATGGCATTTAAAGTCGCATAGGTCAAGCATGGTCAAGGTTGGTGTGTGTGTGGGCTTGTAGGTTACATTTCAGCACTAGAGTGCTTCAGGAGGATATTTGCCACGAAGGGCCGAACAAGGAGGTGTGGCTGCTGGATCGGCGGCTATTGGCGGTGCCTGCAGAGTTGCTGCGGCACTGCTGGGATCAGGGCCTGCTGCTCGCGCGGAAGGAAGGCGATGCGCCAGACGAGACTTGGATGCTGCGAGCTGATTGAGGCGACCGGCGGAAAGCGTTGCTGAAAGGCAGAGGTTTGGGGAGGACCTTCGCTCTTGCAGCCACGCTTGGCGATCTGGTTTTAGAAGACGGATGCAACGGTAGGTGAAATGCATAGCCCTCATATCGATGACACAGACGCCCACACACCCACATGGTTCGACTTGGTGGTGATGGGAAAAACATCGTCAAGGGCCCATCTTCCCCAAACGGGTCTGTATGGAAAAGCGTAGTGGGCCATGGTGCCAGGTGCCTCCTTCGACAGTCGCGACACACACGCACACACAGACTCACAGACTCACAAACACGCAGACACAGAGACACAGCGCAGAGAGGCGCACAGAGAGCCACACAGAGAGCCACACAGAGAGACACAGCCACACCCACATCCACCCGCACCTACAAATAAACAAACAAACAAGCCAGCAAGCAAGCAAGCAAGCAAGCAAGCAGGCAGGCAGGCAGGGCAGTCAGGCAGGCAGGCAGGCAGGCAAACACAAACACGCAAACACAATCACACACACACACTCAGAGAGACACAGACACATACGTACACAAACTGACAATCATACACGCACACAAACATAGCGAAATACAAGCACAAACGCACAACCAGGCAAATACGCAAACACACTAGCACGCAAGCACAAACCCACACACACACACACAGGGCGCGCGCAACATATCCATAGTTCAAGGTGGGCAGGTTCACAAGGAACCACTGGCAAACAGATCTTTGGCCAGCAAACATACAAACACAGAGACATTTTTGGAACCACATGATGAAATTGGAGTCTGCAGCTGCAAGGTCACTGGAAAGTCATCCGTTGTTCGCTGGCATGACGCGCTTGAAGGTCCCAACATGTCACAAGTTCAGATACCATGACACATGTTGACCAGTTGTGTTGAATTGACCAACGCCCACACGTGCCACATGAAAAACAAGTTGGACGCCCCTTTCGTTGCCCCTCAAATTTGGAAGGTGGCATCAGGTGGAGCCTCTACACCCCAACAACTGAGTGAGCAAAAGCAAGATGTTCAACATGCTCTAAGGATCGCTTCAAGCTCTCAGAAGAGCTGCTGCTTTTTGCCGGCCGGCGTGCCACTGGACGCAGGCTGGGCCTTGTTCCGCCCTGGAATAGCTGTTTTTCTATGTCCAGACTTCCGGAAGATTGCAGAACAGATGTCTTTCTGGTACGCAAAAAAGCGCTTGAGACTTTCCACAAAATGAACGTGCATTCGAGGAGAGGACTAGATTGGCATTCTGCCCTTTCCTTGATTGCTATTGGGTTGGATCTTTAGACTTTAACTTTTTGGGACATCAAGGGGTTTCCACTAAACCCACAGAAAGTTAACTTTTTGCAGAGGGGTCAACAGCAACCAAGTTTCATGGGATTGCATTTCTCCCAAAGTCGCCAAACGCTGGAGGCTGGGCATTGGCAGCTGGTCTGCGCTTGTGAGCCGCCTCGAGACAAAAGGGCGCTTGCTTCCGCTTTCGACCGATACGTGTTCGGTGCCAGTTGCTGCCAGGGTTTCTACAGGGTTCCATTTGGGTATGGGTCAAAATTAAACCACCAGGATATGGACCACAGGTTTTAGTCATTGTTTCCATTTACCAGGGTTCGCATTTTGGGTACATATTCTTGACCCACAGCCATTTGTTTCATCCCGCTGATCGCTCGTGCCATCGACCTGTTCGCCGATTGTTGCGTGAATTCAGCCTGGCATTGGCGGGATTCCATGTGCAGGCCCAGCGCACAACTGACCCCGCCGCCGATGAGGAGCACAGGCTGGGTGATTCGAGGCTCATGTGCAAAGCCTTCTCAATCGGCGTGACCTTGTTGCAGCTTGTCAGTGTTTGTTCAAGGCATATTTTATTGGCTGTTGCCATAGACGATTTGTGAGCTATTGGGGGATGCTGAGTTTCGCAGCCGTCGCTTCTGAAGCCCTGCCATTCGTCACATGGGCAGGCGAGACGTCACCAGCAGTGGCAGGCACGGTGTGCAGCTGTCGCCTGTCAGCCTGCTTCACAAAAGTAAGATCAAACTTCATCACTTTCTTTTGGCAAAGAGAAAGACTCTGATTGGTTTGTGTCAAGAGTCTAAGTGCACTGGCTTGGGTGCATTGATTTGCCTAGGCCGCGATTCATCAGCACAAGAAGCTGCTGCAGGTGCGAACGTAGGCACATGGAATGTCTAGTTTTCTGAGTCAGACGCTTCCCTGGATGGATTTATCTTTCTGAGTACTTGCGTCACAAGTAGTTTCATAAACTACAGCAATCTGAGGAATTGGAGAGGGATTGGTAGCTGTTTCACAGGATGTTGTGTTAGGATATGTGTTCGCAGTCACAGGCCCACCTGCCTTCCAAAAAGGCACTGCAAACTTTTCGAGACGCTGCCAGACAAATCTGATGTCGACGTCAAGCCCGAGAAGTTGGACACGAAGGGCGATGCCAGAAGCGAAAAGAGCCTTGAAGCGGATGGTCTTGGCCTCATTGCTGACAGCGTCCTCTCTCATCCACATGGATCTTGAGTGGGGGTCCCGGAAGACCGGTTTCCTCTGAAAGGGACCCCTCTGCCGGGTTCCATGCAAGTGGACAGGAAGGTACTCTTTCAACTCTCAAGGGGTCCTCCTTGAATGCCCGGTTGCGCCTAGGCAAGGAGCTGTCCAAAGGGGTGGAAGGCTGGACGTAGCTGGAAGCAAGCGTAACTGGATGTGATGTGGATGGGCGCTTCGGAGCTCAGTGCAAGAGTTGGGAAGGCACCTTTGGGCGCCAAACCTACCCAAGCCACGTGATCACCAAGTACCGGTTCTTGAAGTCTCAGACCTCGACCGGTGATTCGCTCTTGTATCAAGGTTACAGTAGTACAATAGCATTGCTGAATCGTTTCCAACTAGGTGACAGAGACTGGAGCTGGGGGTAGAGCGCACGATACCACCCATGAAACTGAGCTGCACTCCGCCATAGGGTTGCGAGTATCCGGCTGGGTCCTTGAAGATCAGGGGTCGTCATGTTTGATCGGATCGTTGAGTTGGAAGTGTCAGCTGGCCGGAGATTTGGAGACTTGAAGGGAGCCAGCTGACCATTGGCCCGCCCTGCAAGGCCCAGCTGAGCCACTCTTCAGCAATCCGTCCTTTGCAAAGGGGGAGCTGTGTACGGGAAGTGGTGAAGCTGGGTACTGTGTTATCTACCCTCGCAAGATGCTAGGTGGGTGCTCGGACATGCCAAAAGTCGGAAGGCTTGGCAGGCAGTGTGTCGACTCTGAAGCCAATCTCAAATCTCAACGCGGACATGAGCCATGACGTTGAACTCAACTCAGTGTGACTGCCTACAAAGGGTCTGTAACTGTTGTATAAATGCTGGTGTGGCTGCTTCTCGCCGCTGCAAGTTTGGCCCTCTTAGCTTGCTTTCCTTGCAAACCTGCCTCGTTCCCCTTCCTCACACGAACCTAGTACCTAGTGCCAATATTTCAGCTACCTCGCAACCAATCACATAGATGTTACTCTGTGCCGGGGAGTTTTTCTCATTCGCTGCATTCGCTCGCTTGTTTCGAGATAATCGGCGCTGAGGCTGCCCAGTCCTGTGGAGGCGACGGCGGCTTGCACAAGCTTCCCACCGGAGCCAAGAGCGGAGCCAAGCGCCCGGGTGCCAAGGATGGCATAAGGACCGGTCGCTGTCCTTGGAATCAAAGCCTGGCGCTTTCTGGCGATTTGATCTGAGTAGGTCGGCAAAAATGCAGGCAACAGACCTTGTTTGCCACCGCAATCTATTTGCAGCTTGCTTGGTGGGCTTGCCGTTTGGGCTCAGCACGCTTACAACTTACGGTGTGATCCGCGGTCCGCCCGGCTGCCCAGTGTTTTCAGAGCTTGTCGTCTCTAGGTCCTTGCGTTTAATTTGGTGATAGGCGGGCGCCAGATGCAGTTGGCTATGCGTGCCAGCAGCCTTGAGAAACAAAACTGTGAGAGGGTCGCAATTGTTTGGGGCTGGCACGTGCAGATGGGCTAACTACAACACAAGGCACAAACAATGGCAAAGCCTAGTTCACCTTGCAGGGAAGCTGATTTCTATTGAGCGGAAACAAGGGACTCTTTTGACTTGCGAGTTTCTGAGGCGACACGTGAGCGTCATGCCTGTGAAACAGGATTTGGGCTCGTGACTCGCGCTGGCGTTTTCCACTTGCTTCAGAACAATTTGGTGCATCTTTTTTGGAACCTTTTTGTTGCTTGGTTTTGCGGGAGACACGAGAACCGTGGGACTACCACCCAAAATTTCTGCCATATGGCCACATGGGCGCGACTTATTTTGGGGGACCCCCCCCCCCCCGCAAAAAAAGAAGAAAGAACAAGCAAACAAAAAACAGCACCAAAGCGCCTGGTGTTCCTTTTGTTTTCCCTTTAGAACCACCAAACATGGACGGTCCCGTCCAAAAAAACGGACAGCGCCCCAGATGGTGCCAGCTGCCAGGAGCTCACCACCGCCTGCACGGGCCATTGGAAGACAGAGCTGTTCAACGCGCCATGTGAGGCGCTTTCTGGAAAGTTTGTTTCCGCCTTCTTTTTTTTAATATAGGGCATGAGCTGTTTTTTTTTTCTTTTACTAGGGCTGGGTTTTTAAGGGCTGGTTGGTTGGTTGGTTGGTTGGTGGGTTGGTTGGGTGTGGCTCAGAATGAGAGAGCTAGTCTTTGGTTCCATTTGCCAAGGTGCCATTTGGGCCCATGTTTTTGAGCCACAGCCATGAGTTTTTTTCATTTTTTTTTAATTCGCAGGGTGGGTTTTTCAGGGCTGGTTGGTTGGTTGGTTGGTTGGTTGAGTGGCTGGAAAGGAAAGCCAGAAGGCACGCGCCCGTTTTATGTTGAGTCCACCGTTTGGAGCCGCATCTAGATTTCAGTTTCAATCGCGTGGATGTAGTGCAGAAAGTGTCTTTCACCCGCCATGCTGATAGGCGCCTCTGCCGTTTGTCTACGGTGGCTAGCTCAGTTTTTGTTTTGCACGTCGAATTGCTCTCTTGAATTGCTCTCTTGAATGCTCCACTAAGCATCCTAGAACTGATCTGTTAGAAGCCATTTAGGCGCGATCATCAACATACGGCAAGATTGGAACTGTGGCTTGGAATTCTTGCTCCGGTGGATCCAAGTTTGCATTTGCAAAGACTCCCTGTCAAGGTTGAATGGTTTATCCATACGTTGCACAGTCCCAGTCTGGAAATTCAAGTTACCGATCCATCAGCAGATTTCTAGCAGCGTCAATGTGTGTTGCCACCGCTCTTGTCACGGAGATCCCGACATGCATTCCGAGTGATTTTGATTTTCTGGCTACACTGAGGTTGCTGCTGCATTTGCTGCGCCTTGGTAATATATTGGCACAAAGCTAGCTTAAAGTGAGTCCCTGAGACGAAGGGGGAACCGTTCTGTGCTCCTTCTCACCCTCAAGTTCACCGAGAGAGGTTGGCATGTCAGTGAATCTTTTGCATAGCCAAGGTTTGCAAGCTTGTTGAAGGTCGTTGAGGGTGAGGGCTGCTCACATGGGTATGAGTCAAAATGAAACAACCAGGAATTGGACCGCAGGTTTTGGTCCATGTTTCCAATTACCAAGGCAACCCATGTTGGGGTTACCCGATTTTTGACCCAATCCCAGTGAACATCCCGATTTCCCCACTAAAATATAAAGAGGAAGCAACTAAAATGGGTGGTGAATTCACCAATCCCAACCAAAATGGGATCCCATGGTGCACCTACCAACCAAAATGGGTGGTGAATTCACCAATCCCAACCAAAAAGGGATCCCATGGTGCACCTACCAACCAAAATGGTACCAAACTGGGTGGTGAATTCACCAATCCCAACCAACATGGGATCGCAAAACGGTAAAATGACCACAGCCACACGTTGCTCGCCTTTCTCCAATTCTGTAGGTGCCACCTACCAGCAGAGGACGGAGCTCCTGGACCCAGCCTGAGCTCGGGATCCATGGATACACGGATTCGGGAGGGCCCATTTGAGTCACATTGGGGACACGAGGGAAGAGGCTTTTGGGACCATTTAAACAAAAAAAGTAGAAGAGACCCCCAAAGAGTGTATGGTAAAAACCAGGTTTTTTCTTCTTTTTTTGCCATGCACTAAACATGGATCTCTTCTACCATGTTTTCTTCTTTTGCCAGTTGCAGCCAACCGAAACTGGGCCAGCACCCGGAAGTGCGAGGAGCAATGGGATTGCCTTGGGTCAACACCAGAAAAATCCGCGTGGCTCTAGGCAACTGGCGTGACCTACGCTTTTGCTTGCCTTTTTTTTGGGCTTCTGCGGTGAATGGCAGCGATTGCTTGTAGCACAGCACTACTTGCCGGCTCAGGACCTCACTGGAGAGCCATACGTGTGCTGCGCAGGGCTGTGCCCCTGCTGCGGCCTAGAACAGCCTCAGGACTGGGCCGGATTCAGCCGTCAAAGCTGTCTGAAGGGAGGGCCACTGGGCAAACCCAAAGGCTTAAAGCACCATGTGAATGCGCAAAGTGGCCGCTGGCAGAGATCTGAGTTGAAATCAAGATCAAGAGCTGACCGATCCCAACCCAAAAATAGCGATGAGCTCTGCGCTGTGTGCATGTCTATTGACACTAGACAATGATGGTGCCGCTCTCGTGGCCGCTGAGGGAATGACAGTGAGAGGAGAGAGGATGAGGGCGCTAGCGGTTTGCTTTGCTTCACGCCTCAGCTGTGTTTCAAAGCGATTAGTCCGTGGACATCCATGGCAGCCATCATGCATCGGCTGCTGCTGCTTGCTGCGAACCTGCTGTGTGTTGCCGCAGATGATCCTTTGCTGAGTTCAGCATGTTGACATGGACGCGCTCGGATAGTTTAGAACAGCAACATGACCACTGGGAAGGCAGGACTTTGGTCTGGCACATGTTCTAATTGAGCTAGCTTTTTTCTTGGCACTGACAGCAGCCCTTCCACCGATCACAATTGTGCCCAAATTGTTCCAGACCAGCTTTTCAAATGGTCACGTCTGCAGCAAATTTCTGAAGCGCAAAACGTGCAAACTGTCATGTACACTTACTGGTCTCCATGCGGGCTTCCATGCAGGGAGCATCTTGTGTCCAGGTGGGTGTTCACTTGTGTTTTGGCATCAGAGTTAACTTTCTATGCAGAATAGTTGATTGCAATATGGTGTCTTCTTGCGTGGCTTGGTGTGTTCTTTTTGTTTGCCCAGGTCTTTGACGCAGTGTTCATCTTTTCCTGACTTCAGAGTTAAAAAGGCAAGGGGTAATATTCAATGCCGATAAGACCAGCACAACAAGAGGAACGCGCAAGGGGGGGGGAACTCTACACGTTTCTCTTGGCGTCAGCAGTTGTATGTGTGTGTGTTGCGTCTCAGCAGGTTTTGCCATGATCTGGCATGAATTCCTGAATGCGTAGCGTCCCAAGGCGGTTCTTGGTGTATTTCAACGCGCAGATGGCTTGTCAGTGTCACACCCTTACACACCATTGGGATACGGATGCGATACGCATTCATTCCGCTGAGACCGTGGCTCCTATGTTACAATGTTCGTATGGTTCAAAAGCAAATGGCAAGGCGTGCCAACCGCTCCCGTTTGAGGCTGGGGTTTGCGTGTTTTGCTTGATGGTGCTCCAAGAATGCTTAGTCACTTGTGGTTTCCCTTAAAACGCCAAAGTAAAACGGGTGCCGAGCCTCAAAAAGCACAGCCTCACCTAAATTCACTCGGCAAGAGGGGCAGAAGAGGGGCAGTTTTAGCAAAACCAATAGGTGCAGCTTGCCGTTCTCTGCATTCTTTACTATTTGGGTCAACCACTTTACCAGGTTTGGATTGTGGCTCTCAGCGCCCCAGCCCCCAACAAATACGCCACTTACCCGGTCTTATGATCACAGGGGCGTGTTATAAAATAGAAGCCTTAATGGCCAGTCCCATTTTTTTGGTGGAAATTTTGAAGGTACTATTTCTACCTTGCTTAGGGAAGCCAAAAGGAAAGCCGATCTCCATGTTTGAGGTTCCCCGATATTTTTGAGGTACCCAACAGCTTTTTGGTACCCCCTATTTTGAGGGGAGCCGTTTTTTTTTCTTCCTAGGGCTGGCTTTTGTCTCGGGCTGGGTTGGTTGGTTGGCTGGCTGGCTGGATGGTTGGATGGTTGGATGGTTGGATGGTTGGATGGTTGGATGGTTGGATGGTTGGATGGTTGGATGGTTGGATGGTTGGATGGTTGGATGGTTGGTTGGTTGGTTGGTTGGTTGGTTGGTTGGTTGGTTGGTTGGTTGGCTGACTTGCCGCATCCCCGGCATCACCAGCCTCACTTGGCCCTGGGTTGCCTGTTGGCTCTGATGAGAGGCAGTTGGGAGTGGCTGGGGGCTGGTTTAAGTTTGGGGAGGTTTCAGGCTGGCGTGGATCTTCATGAGAATGGGTCTTGGGCTTGATTTAGGCGAAGCGAGGGGTTGACATCCGGGCTGCTGTTGGGCGGGGTTAGGGTTGACTTTAGGTGAATTTGGGGTTGGCTTGGAGCTGATATGTGTTGGGTGTGCTGCTGGCAAAGCGGTGCCTTTTAGGGTTGCTGTATGGATGTGGCTGGAGTTTTGGTCTTGTTTAGGACTGGTTTTGGAACTTTGCCCCAAACCACCAAAACTCGCCCAAACTTGC